AGAAATAGCAGAATTCTTTAGGGCTGAAAAACATTATAAAGAGAGTAAGAATTATGTACAATATTTACTTGATATTATAGGTGAGAAATAATTTTGATTATAATTTATGTTTTATTTTTCTAGATTTGTGCAATTTGTTACATATTAAAGATGTAGTATGTTTTTACTAATACAAAAAATTATTTCTAGCTGAGAGTGAGGGACGCAATTCTGGCTCCCTTGCATGGCGTTTAGCAAGAGGAGAAATGCAGTATGGTAGTTCACAAAGCTACATGTTCAAACTCACAGAAAAAGAAGTGAATAAGAAAGAGTTCCTAGTTAAATATTCTCCTGCAAGGGATGAGTATATAAGGGTCTCTTCAGATGGAGAAGTTCAAAAAGGATGGCAGACTGGAGTTAAAGAAGTTAAAGATGTCTTCAGGAAGCATGAAACTGACTGGAAGACAGTATATTTAGCAAGATGTGGTGTGTGAAGTATTTTATCTTTATGTATAGATTAATAACCCTTGAAATGTTGTACAGTGAGCTCCCAGTTATTCCATAGCTAGATCTATCTCCCTTTTTTTTTTTTCTTTCTTTCTTTCTTTCTTTCTTTCTTTCTTTCTTTCTTTCTTTCTTTCTCTCTGGTCAGGTGTCAAGATGCTGTAGCAACTATGCTAAAAAGCATAATCAGTACTTCCCAACTGAGTTGAGTCATCGTTGTTAAAATAAACAATAGTCGACCAGAATGAAAAACAGGAGAACAATACCCAACCATCAATTGCCATAATTGCCCATTACCCCCAACCCCCTAGTCCTTACACACAGGACACACAGGCTTGCTGATTTCTCAAAACCACTTGCTACAACTTTCAGAAAAAATTTAGGGGGGTGGGTCACAGGGTTTGCTACTCATCAAAGATTGACATCTACAATTGTCATACGTAAGTAACTTCCGTCTCTTAGCGTGTCTTGTGTTGTTAAGTGAAGTGTTGTGTTAAACACTACCAGCAAAAGCAACTTACCAGAATCCTGGTTTGATTCTGAAGAAGGCATCAAAAGTTATGTCCAGTCTTGCAACTTTTAAGCATTCCACTAGTAACTCACATCTAGCAGCAGATTATTAAATCAGATCTCTTGAGTAACACTCCTTTTCATGGACTTCTTCTTTCCCTTTCGGTGTGTTCCCTTGTTAGGGGTCGCCACAGTGTGTTAACTCCCTCCACCTCCTATTTATGGTGTGTTCTTCTACGACTCCTACTGTTTTCATGTCTTCTTTGACTGCATCCATGAATCTTCTCTTCAGTTTCCCTTTCCTCCTCTTTCCTGGTGGTGCCATCTCCATCATCATTTGCCCAAAGTAGTCCTCTGGTCTCCTCTTTACATGCCTGAACCACCTCAACCTACTTTCTCTTAGCTTATCCCCAAATCTTCTAGTTTGCAGCTGCTTTCTAACTTCCGTGTTTGGGACCCTATTTAACCTCATCAGCCCCAGCAAGAAATGCAGCATTCTCATCTCTGCTATCTCCATTTTGCTTTCAGCAGCTTTCGTGAGGGGGATTGTTTCTAGGCCGTACATAATGGCTGGTCTTACGCAAGTTCTGTATACCTTGTCCTTGAACTTTGCAGACATATTTCTATCGCATAGGATGCTAGAAACTTTTCTAGTACACAGTACGATGTCATCAGCAAACAACATTGTCCATGGTGCTCCTTTTCTTAGGCCCTCTGTCAGTGTGTCCATGATTATGGCGAACAAGAAAGGTCTCAGGGCCGACCCTAGGTTTAGTCCAACCTCCACTTCGAAACCTTCCGTCGTACCGACTGCGCATCTCACTGTGGTTATGCCTACCTTGTACACATCTTGTACCACACTTATGTAGACCTCAGGCATGTGCTTGTCCCTCATGCAGTGCCACAACTCCTTTTCATGGACTACTTTGTGGAAATGAACAAATAGCTCAATCTCAGATTAAAGAGATACCACAACCCATGGAAGTTAAGATTCCAAACAATTTTTCTCAATTATTACATCATGCACCTTCAACTTCTCAAGTTAAGTTAAGGTCTAATTCACTTCTCAAGTTAAGTTAAGGTCTAAGCACTCCTTGACTTCACTAGATGTCATCAATCCAGTTATTTATCAGGATCTTCCCATACATTGATTGATCACTCTGAAAGTCTGGAAGGTGCAGCTAAATCAATACTTCACATGTTCAGAGTGATACAGTGCTTGGAAATGAGAAGTTATCTTTCAGTAATCGCTGAGGCAGTTTTCGTAAAATTTTTTGTACAGGAAAAAAGTGACATTAGCAAGTTGGGCGACTCCTGGCTTGGTAAGAGTCATGGCCCACAGGATGGGCTCAATTCCTTGGGTCTTCAGTGGCACTGGAAAAAGAGTCACCCTCCTCCGTTGTGGTTTTCCCGCCCTAAGAAATCTTTGACTTCAATATCAAAGAGAATCGGCAAGTTACAAGCCGATTCAGATACCTCAGACTGGGGATGGGGCTACCAGTCATCA